ACAAACAATGAAATTAGGACCGCGGTACACTTTGCCCTTCCGCCATATGCCCAATTTTGGGATTTCTCTTGCTCCCTTCTGGGAATCACTAGTCACATCCCTTAAGTTCAAAACGCATTTTTGTTTTTTCAAATATCTTAATTTTTACCAATGTTATGAAGAATTTTGTGTTTGAACATTTAACAAATTCAATTTTTCGACCTCCGTCGCCTCAAAATACTAAACAAATTTCAATCGTCCATACCGCGAGAACGGTGCATCGGATCAAAATTTCTCAGTAGACATAAAAATTATCATTTTTCCTAATCTTTCAAATGTCGTAAACTGCGTTTTAAAAATATCCATTTATTTCCGACATGCGCCTGCGCAAAATTGAAAAATTGACAAAATCAAAAATTTCGGCACTTTCGAAAAACTGCTACATTTTGTTTTGCATTTTTTCGAAAAGATCACCTCAAAATACATAGAATCCATTTTGTTTCATCTAATTACAATTTAATGTAAGCTCAAAACCCGTAATTTAATTCGATTAACATGGAAAAATAATTTCTTTATTTATTATACACCTCATCATTTAGGGACCTCAAAAAGTTTGACAAAGTTTTAATTTCTGCCTCCCTCTTTATTGCTTCTATCTATTGTAAATATTTTTATATGTCTTCTTATTTGATGAAACAGATGAAAACTCCAAATTTCAAGACTTGATATTATTCGAAAAGTAAATAAAAAAAGTCACAAAAACAGAACTTCAAAGGTTTGCTCTCATAGGGATCAAAAACAAAAGTTTGATACAAAGACGGCAAACAACAGCATTCTAGGGTTAGTTATTTATTCTTTATTTTTCCTTATAGTGAAATTAAATTCGCTCGTCCCACGCTATGGCTATTTACCAACCATTTTCACAACCTGTCGAATGCTTTTGAGGTTTACGCAATTTTTAATGTCGCCTGACGCGGAGCCACCTCTGAACATCGAGGTTTATTGTGTTCTCTTCATTTCGTTAGGTTTCAATTTATAACAAGGTGGAAGACAGTTAGCTATTATACCTATAGCGTTTCAATCCTGCAAAAACTATTGTAAAATTTGATAAGGGTACGAATAAAAATTCGCTATGTTCGCTAAGAAGTCCAGTCGTGCAAATCATAGTTTATTTTAACTTTTATCAAGTAAAAAATACATTTGGAGACAAATTTTCAACATATATTATTTATTATTAATATTATTTACCCCTTGAAAATACAAACAAAACATCTTAATTTGCTGGTTTACTTTAAATATCCTAAAAAGGACGGAAAGATAAAACGAAAGCTACTAATTAAAATTGTTTTAATAAAATACAAGAATTAGTTACAAATTACGATTTTTATTGTTACTGTGACACTATGACTAACGGATTCAGTATATTTCTCTGTGAGGCTGTCCTCCTGCGGTAGATTACAGAGTTGGATATATCCTTCTATTCGATGTAGAGTCTACTCGTGACGGAGTTGCGATTTACTCACGACGTAGTTGAAAATACTCTTGGACATTCCTGGACTTGTATTCCAGGAGTTATAAAGATCCTTGACGGAATTGGAGATATCTCTGAATTTGAAGATATTCCTGGATACTCTAGAGATAAAGATCGTTTAATATAGAGTTGGATTGTCTTGGATCCAAATATTCTTGGATATGGATATTATTGGAGTTGAAGATATTCCTGGATATGGACATTCTTGGAATTAAAGACATTCTTGTACCACTATATTATTTAGGAGTAACTCGTAATAGCACGCACAGGTCAGTCCGGAAATCTATATTCTCTTATAGCGAAAATGTAAACCAAAAATCATTACATGTTCAAAACACGTATTTACTAGTAATATACTAAGATAAAAAAAATCAGTCAAGAGCCAAACTAAATCGTATGGAACGTCCATGCGTGCTGGTGACATGCGTGAATGAAAACAGATAAGATGCGAACTTATTTCGATTACACTTCACAAAAATACGGAAAGCCAATCCGAATCTATTTATATTCGTTGTCTACGAGAATATTATGATTCCTTCGATGCTTCCTTTGCAACCGATAAGAACAAATGCGCACTTAGAAACAGATAACAATAAGAACAATAAGTTGTAAGTTTTAAAAAAGTATTTTCTAAATTCCTATAATATTAACAGTCCACTAAACCCCCGTAGGCGGTGATAGCCAATTAATTACTTTGCCAAATAATGACGTAGTTGTGTTCTTTTTATTCTATATCGGATCCTACTTTTAAATGTCAAATATAAATATAATCCATTCACTTAGTTAATACCATGGCACTAATTTGTAATAAATAAAAAGCACAACAGTGTTATGAAAATGAGTATTTATGCAAATGTGTACCGAAATAAAACAGAGAGTAGGTAATTATTGTTAATAAATACCAACAAATTAAAATACGGACTGAAAAAAATTAAACTGACAAGGCTTTTAAGTTAAATGGGTTCCCATTTGAAATATTTTATTTTCTAACAAAATCCATGAAATGAAACAATTGAAATAATTGGAACAATTCGTTCGGTATTTCTTTTTTACATTAGTTCTCATTATAAAAGGCCATATTTTTGTTAGTTTTAAATGAAAATGAATGAATATTTTTCCTCATTGTGACACCTTTTTGTTGAAGAATTGATAGTTTGCTTCTTTAAATTTCTATGTCATCACATTCACTGGTGATAGAAACATCCAAAGTGTTTGAATTCAAATGAGATAAATACATTTTTTCTAACAATATTAAAAATCACGGTCTAGCGTTAAGGAATAAGCAAGAACCAATTTCGTTTTTTTTTTATCGACCAACTAAATGTCATTTTTGATTTTGTTTAAAGCTAATTTTTCTACGACAGTCCCTGCAAATATCAAACATTGCACATAATGCCAGTAGTAAACTATCTCTGACATCTAAGCTTCTTTCGTTCGTTCCATTGGTGTAGGAATAAACTGCACCAACGGACATTAAATCTTTTGTTTGGCCTGGAGTAAAATCCACTTCACCTTTCTGTTGGCAATGTGGTGTCAACTGGTGGATATTTTCTCCACCAGCTATTTAGCAGAAGTGAATTACACTCGACATGTGTATAAGGAATAATAAGAAAGTAAACTAGGTAAATAAGGTGGTGTAATTTACACTGGTGCACACTACACCAACAGCGAATGAAAAAATCTAATATGTATAGTCGACGGCGCAGTTAAATTTTACTATTCCACAATTAAATATCAGTATTATCAATATATCTATATATAATTTACAAAGACACCGCCGACGTTCAGACTTAGAAAACACAGTTGTCAAATTGCAAAAAAAATTATGCGTTAAATTCCATTACAGCTAAACGACTGTGTACATTTAGCGCATTCGAGCAAATATATTTGGAGCTAGTAAAACATAAATATTTTATACCCGGCATCGTTGTACGACAAGCACGTTGTGTAATTGTCTAAATTTCGAATTTTGAAGAAAACTCAAAAACGGATAAAGTAAAAAACATTAAATTTTAACCTTGTTTTATTTCATCCTGACGTGAAATGGACAAAGTCGGAACATCTGGGGGGTACTTTATAGGAGGTCGTTTTTATATTTTACGGAATATATCTGTTATTTATGTTTGGAAAAGAAAATTATTCGAATAAAAGTTACTTCTAATATTATTATCTACTATTTTTGCTTTATTTTAAATTATCCTGTCAATTATCAATTATCCTAAATTGCGCCTTCGTGCGATATTGACCATCATATCCACTCTTGTTGCACAAACTACTATTTCCTTCAACTATATACGTGAAATATTAAAAATAATAACGTGTGTATTTTAACTATTTAATAAAATTTGTTTCAGTTACAATAATCCTTTGCTGTTATTATGGTCAATTTACAATATAAAAAAACTACAATTAACAATATAGAAAAATAAGTAAAAATTATAAATTACAGCGTATAATGTTCCAATAGATACGCAACACATACGCTTATTTTAGAACCTCTTGTTAAAAGAGCCTATGAAAAATAATGTCATCATTTATGTCAAGTTTCTCCATAAAATTTATTTTTTTCTTACAAAACAGTTTCCTTTTAAGGTAAACAATTTAATAAATATCTCTTCCACTAGCGAAAACGAAGGTGAAATTATGATACCCTACTTACCCACTTCCACCAGAGATTGCTGCCATAAATAATTATATTACTAGTAAAATCCAAAACAGGATATTTATGAGTTGATATAAAAATAATAATTAATATTTTCCACCTCATGACTTTTTTAAAGAAATCTCTCATACCTAATACCTATTTCTTTATATTTGTAAAATAAATACAAAACCTTATTTCTTTCTGGTAGTACATAACTTGAACGTCAATTAGATGACTGTTGAAAGGACATTATATTTCTGTTTTGTGTGCTATCAGTGATTAATTAATTGATGTTAGCCTTGTGTAGGGGGTCAATCAATTGTCCATCTCACATGTTTGTTATTTTCAAGGGATCATATACTTTTAAGTATCTACAGAATGCAAATGAGTTTTGGCTAAGGGCCGATTCCACCGTTGTGTTAAACGGAGATTAAAATGACATTGTTAACCCTAGAACGGTATCGAACGTAAAATTTACGTGTTCAAGCTGAACTATTTGCATTTAGTAGGACTAGGCGCATGCGGATTATCTCGACCTCCCATCTATGCTTGCATGAATATCTTAGCGATTGACTGCTTACATCGCCAATTCGCAAGTGCTTGTGATAAAGGAAACATTTATTGTCTTCCGGAGCTCTATACGTAAATTTTAAATAAGCACCCATTGATGTACGAAATTTTTACGTGTCGATACCAACACACGTTTAGAATGTCAAAACGAGGTTTAACTGAAAAGGAGCTAGAAAACGCATTGTTGCAAAGTAGTGATGCCGTCACTAGAACCAAATCCGAGACAGAAAGCTAGTCTGGAGCGATGACGATCCAGAATGGTTGCCAAATGAAGAAATGGAAGCGCAAGAATTAGCTGGCTTCGTAAAATTATTGGCAGACAAAAATAAGGAAGAGGAAGCTACAGCTGCAAAGCGCAAAAAAAAACAGAGATATCCAGAAGCACATTGGCTGAAATTTCTAACGATGAAGAAGCAAATACACAGGTATTATATTTATTTATATTTGGTATCAATCTACTATTAGTGAATTTTATTTTAAGTTTCCTGCTGATGAATGTAATAAGGAAATCTCTTACCTTTTTATGGCCCCAGCAAAAGAAAATTTACTCGAAAAAAAAATGTTACAAATGGTCTTCCAAACAAAGTTCCAATGGCAAAAGCCACCCTTAGCAATTTTCCCGTTTGACAAAAAACCCTAGATTCAGTACACCTTTATGAACCATGATACAAGAAGTTTTAGGAGAAAATCATATGGTACCTACCTGAAATGCCACAATGTGCAGAAGAGCAAGAAGGTCGGCGAACTTACTGTAGTATGTGTCCATCTGCAAAAAGAAGCATGACCACTACCAACTGTTTAAAGTGTAAAAATTCATATGCGGCGCTCATCAAAAAAAATTTGTCCAAATTGTATTTAAGCATTTTTATAGCATTTTTTTCTATTTTACTACATTGATAAGTACGAGTTTTTAAGTTACCCTATATACTAAATTTGCGAAACAAACCTTTAAACACTAAATAAATCTGTTTTAATAACTTGATTACTTATATTTTAGCTTATTACCTATAAAAATATTTAGCACGTAAAATTTACCTATCGATACCAATACAGTATCACAAAATATCGATACCATTCTAGGGTTAATATAAAAATGTCATTTTAAACTTAGTTTAACACAACGGTGGAATCGGTCCTAAAAGAAATAAAAAGGTTGTAATGAATTGAATCGTTGTTAGGCAATACGGTATACAGTTAGGTGTATTTTGTGTTACGGTCCTCATGGAACATATTTTTGTATTTGTGGAACACGGTCTCAGCCATAAAGACATAGAGGTTCCACGTGAATGACCAAGGTCAAAACCGACAACTGACATTTTTTATGCTATTTGCTCCAAACTCTAGATGGGGCTACTGGTGAAATTATGATTTCTTACTCCATTTTTAAGCCTTATGGGAGAAAAACTTAACCAAAGACTCAAAAGATGTGACGTATTTATTTATGTTCTTGGTTAGTTTCATTTTTCGTCTGATTTTAGTGATTTTTTGTTGGCTTTGGCTTTTGGTTTCTGTTTATAGTTTCGTCTTAGTTATTTGCAAAATTGTGATGTTTCGCTTTTTTATTTCCTACTGTGTTTTGCAATAATTTTGGTGCTACGTTGAAAACTTCGAGAAAAACTTCATTGATTCACCATATATTCACCATGCATCTGCATCATAAAAAGACAAACGGGGACAACAACTAATTGATAATCAATTTATCACTGGACTAGATTCCGAAATCATTTTTCACATAAGAGAGTAATACCACCATCTGTATTTCGAAGGAAAATACCTATTTATCATTGAATGAATAGTTAAAAGGATTCACCTTTTAATACAATACCTATATTACATTTGTCCTCAGTTAAAAAGACATTTATAAAATATATAACTTTAGTGTTAATAAAATGTAATATCCTAGTCTCTACTTCACATTTAAATTATTGATAGGTATTTTAAAGATTTGAGATTATATATCTATTTGCTCCAAGTAAGTATTCGTTAAATATGTATTATTATTATTTGTATTTATTTTTATCTAATAATATGTATTTAAGTTATTAATAAACATATTTTAAGAATGTTCTATTTTATTATTTATTGATATATCTTATATTTATTTAATAAAAATATGCAGAACCAACTCTCCACATTAGACCCCTTATAACAAATTAATTCTTCAAATTTGGTATAATCGACCTAAATTATTTTGTAAAATAAAAGTTTCGAACTTACTAGTTCCATACTTTATTTTATAAAATAATTTATGTGGAAATCATTTAAAATTTAATTTAAAACTACTACCTACTCCTAAAAATTACAATTTGAATTTACCGCCATCTGTCAATTGTCATTTTAGTTCCAGCTCAAACACAAGGTGGCGCTAATTTGGTTTAAAAGTTTAACATTGGCGTGGGGTCTCTAGAAGATACATGCTTTGTGGTCTCAGCGGTCACGGCCTCAGATCAATGAACTGGAGGGGGGTAGAATGCCAATGTACATGTTGTACTATTAGAACAAGGTGCGACTCGATGGGCGCAGCCATTTTTATTGTTCATCTCACTCGGGACTATTTATAATAACCATTTTCTGTTTCACATTGTTATTGTTCAATCCACAAGCTGGTGGATCAGACAATAACAATGTGAAATAGAAACTGGCTATTTTAAATACTCCCGAGTGAGATAAAAAATAACCTATCTTCGCCCATAGAGTCGCACATCAAGTCTATTGACAAGCATTCTACCCCACTCCAGTTCATTGCCTCAGATAAACGTCACGGCCTTATTTTTTGAAATTGTACTTTTGACGTTGTCAATGGGGGGCTGTCAAAAACTCGGAGATAAAAAAGCAACAGGTGTGTTAGAGGTCCATTTGTATTATGAATTAATTAATTACTGTAGGGTAATCGTTACCAGCCGGATAGGGATTTGTACAGTAAATTAATTGTAATAAGTTGGAGAATTGTTGATTAGGCCATTGAGCCACGTATTTTTGTAAATTTCTTCAAGTTGTATCTGTAGTGGGATTTTTTCGCTTCAACAATAATTATTCGTATTCGATGTAAGGAAGGCCCCAGTGATATTCGGCGGATTTCAATAGGAATTAATGGGTTTTTTTTTTGTTTACCTCCTGTTTTTGTATAGAGCCTCAAAGCTCTTGCAGGTCGCTGTTATTTTCTGGATTACTATGAAAATTCTGGTGCATTAATTGTCCCTGTGCCACTGTATCTACAGTGTGGAGTCACCGTGCACTTGGATCGAGTGCGAAGTATCACACACCCCATCAGCTGATAAGTTAGACTAGGGTTCGCAAATCAGCGGAGTTTAGTGAGATCGTCCTAACGTGAATAGTGAAGTATTAATGTGATACATTTTAAATGTATATAAGTGTATTGGATATATTTGTATTTATAGGTGATCTAACACGTCATGAGCTCATACGTCGTTATAGAATAAGTATTATTTTAGTGTTAGGTATTTGGGTATCCCAATTTAAGTATGTGTTTGCTCGTTATGTGAGAATAACGGTTGTAAGTACATAGCGGGTAAAATAATTGAAGGGTCGCGGCGAATAACGATCAGAGTCCACTTTTGCCAAAAATAAGAGAATGTCACCATCGTTAAGCTAGTACCAAATATAAATCAACTATTATTTACTTCGGGGAAGATAGTTCATAGTCTTCGAAAATATAACGTTCAAAGATACAACGTGTCGCCTAAAAACGATCATGGTCCAAGCGCTGACGGGAATAAAAGATCAGAGTCCATGTTTGTCAACCTCCTTATTCATGAATTAGCTTTTCTAGTCGCCACCTAGATTTTTAGTTGTTTGTTTATACTAATACAAGGCGCTTGTCACAGAGGAATAAAATAATAAAATTTGTTATTAAAACGTCAATGATGAGTGATTTAAATAGTGATTTGGATGGCGAAAAAGCTTATGTGGTGCACAGCAATGTCAAGAAAAGAAAAAGAACAGGAAAAATGACAGATGTTATGAAGAAATTACGTGCAAGTAGTCATGAAAGTGGAGAAGACTGCAAGTGTAGCCGTTTAAAGTGTTTTATAACTATTTGTTCTGAGGAGCGGCAACGCATAATTTTCTATTTTAATCAGTTGGGAGTTAACAGTGCACAAAGTAAATACCTCAGTGGACTTATCAGTGTTGTACCTGTTCAGCGCCGACGTAATCGAAAAGACGAAGCTGATGCTAATTTCCACACTTCCTCTTATTCCTACAGAGTTCGAGCACGTGTTGAAAATAAGCTACAAGATGTGAGTGTTTGTTATAAAGCTTTTTTGTCTTTGCACGGTATTTCGAATCGTCGTGTGCAAAATTTGAAGAAAAATCTATGTACGCTGGGTGACGCCAAACCGGATGGTCGAGGAAAGCAAAAAAACAGACCCCATCGCATAAGTGATGCAACCAAACTGAAAGTTATGGATTTCATAAAATTACTTAAATGTAGAAAATCACATAAGAGATACTTCTAAACAATATTTGTCGGAAGAGCTGAATATAAGTAAACTGCTTCGAATGTATATTGACTCCAATAAGGAACACCAAATAGGCTATACCACTTTTTGTTAAATTTTTGAGAACAATTTCAATATATCCTTCGGTTTCCCCAGAAAAGATACGTGTAGCACTTGTGATATTTTGAAAAGTGAAATTGCCATTTTGGAAGAGCAAATAGCCCAATGTGTGGATGAAGAAACAAAAAAAGCAATGAAGAAAACCCTTGAGCAAAAGAATGGTGAAAAGCAATTACACTTGGCAAGAAGTGACAAATTTTATTCTTTGAAAAGGAAGTACAGAAAACAATCACAGAAAGAGGCAAAAATTGAAGCAATCGCTATGGACTTTCAAAAGAACTTACCTACTCCAAACATTACAACATCAGATGTTTATTACCGTCGTCAATTAAATTTTATAACATTTAACATTCATGTTTTATCTGATTCAGCATCTGTATTTTACACGTATGACGAGAGTGTCGCACGAAAGGGTGCAGATGACGTTTGTTCAATGCTACACCATTTCTTCTCAAATTTCTCAAATTTACTAGATCCTCAAGTGCGTATTTTGAGAATTTTTTGTGACTCTTGCGCTGGACAAATTAGAACTATACAGTAATGCGCTTTTTACATTACATGGTGAATATGCAAAACCGTTTTGACATTGTGAAAGTCGTATTTCCTATACGTGGTCATTCCTACTTGGAATGTGACAAAAATATGAGCCTTGTTAATGTAAAATCATATACTGAGAGACCAGACGACTGGAGAAAGATTTTAATGAATAGCAGGATCAAACCGTCACCTTTTAAAGTAATAAATTGTGGGGAAGAAGTTAAGTTTCAGACTTGGACAGAATTTCTTTCACAAGGTATGTGCGGAAATTTTCTTCACCCATAAGACCAAATAGGGTGTTAAAAGTTGATAAAAATGAGACAAGATTTATCTCACACAAAGAGAACTACTTCGGAAGTTACTTTAAAGCTGTCCCTCCACAAAAGCAAAAAAGAAAGCAAAAGAAAAGTCTTGGATCCACTGCACTAAAGAACCTCCACAATGGACAGGTACCCATTAAGGAAGCAAAAGTGAAGGATCTTTTACATCTTACCCAGTTCTTGATCAGCCCTGATGCAAAATCGTTCTATGATGCTCTGGTAGCTGATTCCCAAACCAAAGAAGATGACAGCGACATCGAATTTGCTGACGACCCACCCATTGATTAAAGATAATTGACAGCAAAAAGGATCACAGTCCATACGTTCTTCGAGAAATTATTTGTTTTTAGTTTCATACACTTTAGAAAAACATTTTTTTTTTTAATATCTTAATAAAAACTTACTATTCTACAAAATGTGAATACTGACAAAATAGAACAAATGGACTCTGATCATTATTCACCGCGACCCTTCAATTGTTTAGATAATATAATATGGAAGGTAGGACATTCATTGAACTATTGGAATTTTTGAATTAAAGCTGTTTAGTTTTATTTCAGCCTGTTTTTGCCTATTGGCATTTATCTTTATCCTGTGTAACAGCCAAATATGATATTTTGACCTATATTCGCGGGCCCTTTTTTTTCTAAAAATTAAAAAGTCGTTATTATAACTAGAGGCAGACACAAATGTTTGTTGGATAATAAATTCGTTTGTATATATTTGTGAGAAGTAGAATCAAAAACCGGTAGATTTACAAATCAGATTCTATAAATGCATAAACATTTCGATTCGAATTTTAAATTAATACACTAAATATATTTCCAGGTGATTGTGTTCATTATACCATTTAAATAAATGTATTTTCTTTTGGATCAAATTACTGTGAAAATTATGGAAATTCATATTTGCGATTCCCTTTTAGTCAACCGTAAAAGGTTTTGCTAGTTCAACCGGAACGTTTGCCGGAAATTTTACAATTTAAATTTTGGTATTTTTCAGACAACGACAAGTTTAAACTGTTAATTTTGTTCTTTGTATGTTAATATACCAGACCGAAGTTGAGAATACATTAATATTCTCTGAATAGCGAACAAATCAAAAACAGCAATGGCGTTCGGCAGTCGGCAGTAAAATGTTGAAAAGCGATTCAATCAGAATAATAGTTTAATGTAAATTAAAAGTTTCTTTATTCAATGGCACAGTATTTTAATTGGTTCATTGAAAGAAATACATGTTCAAAGAAAAGAATCAATGAATATGATTGGCCATTCAAGCTAATCGATACATTATCTGTAGGATATTTTTGAAAGATGATTGTAAGTAGTTTTGGAAGTACCTTTTCTGTAAGGGCAGGTTCATTTATTGTTTATCGATATCTGCAGTCAAGCCAGGCCCAGCACAGTTAGTAGTTGGATGAGAAACCATTTCAATGAAAGTCGACGTACGTCTGAACAAACTGCTCGGTTAGTTGCATATCGCAGCTGGTGGGCAATATATCAATGAGTATGTGGTATAGCGTAGGGTGTGCCGTCTTTTCGTAGATGTAAGACCGTCGGTCCCGAGCCCATGGATGTTGGGCTAATTAAAGATCCCCACCTCTAGTTATAACATCAAGGTATTCGGCTAAATTTCTGGTAATTAGGGTAGCGTGCTCACCAGCGTCATAGTAAGAAATAGGCCGACTTTAAATGAATTAATAAAAAAAACTTTTTTGTAGTAAAATGTGTCTACCAATTTGATATCATACTTTATATTTATTTAACCCTTTGTGACACGGCGTACGCTGCAGTGTACATTGACACCTCATTTTTATTTAATTTCTTTTTTTCAAAATCAATAGGCTTCATCCCCTTATAAAGCTTGATTTTTCCTGAAGATATCAATTTCATATTGTTTTTTGTTTCTGAATTAGGAGTTTTTTCAATATTTCAACAAGGGGTCGGAAAAATAATCGATTATTAATCGAATATGTTTTTTTTATTTGACAATCAATTAATATATTATTTTCGATTAATCGATCACTTGATTATTTTTGATTAATCGATTACTTTTAATTTATCGATTATTTTCGAATAATCGATTACTTTCAATTATTTAATTATTTTTGATTAATAGATTATTTTCGACACTCGATAATATCGAAAATATGTTAGATTAATCGATTTTTTCTATTGATCGAATATTTGCAAATAATCAATTCTTTGCGATTAATCGATTATTTTCGATTATTCGAGTATTTTTATTTATTCGATTATTTTTGATTAATCGAATATTTTCGATTAATCAATTATTGTCGATTATTTTCGAATAATCAATTATTATCGATTATTTTCGATTAATCCATTACTTCCCATGCAACATAATGCCGTCATTATCACGTGATTTTTTGGTGTGCGTTACGTCATTTGATGACGTGAAAATAACGTTATGGTAACGTGAGAATGTCACAGCGAAATGACGTCATTCCGTATCGTCATTTTGACGAATCGATATCACGTTAAAGTAACGTGTATATCGGGTGTCCTAGGCTAGGCAAAATGACGTCATTATCACGAATCTACCTAACGTCAAAGTGACATATATATATATATTGGGTGTCCCAAGGTTGGATGAAATTATTAAAAATACTAAGCAGATGAAAGTTATTTATTTAATCCAAAAAACACATGAAAAATATATTATAAAAAATAAATTACACTGGTAAATAAAAAAGTCACGAGCAAGAAACTAGAAGGAATAAAATGTCAAAAGAATATTAGAAGAACTGACACGACATACCTAAAATTATAGATTAAATTTAATTCTTCAGTATCATCCAATAACAGCTTTGTAGTTGGCACCTGTTTTCTTTTAGTAGGTAATTTATCGGCCTCGGAATGTAGATCTGTGGTAACTTTTACTTTTTTTTTAATTTGGTACATCACTTATCATTATCATCTAAAATAAAAGAACTATTAAACTACAGACCACTGAAAATTCTTAAAGATAGAAATTAATTGTGTATCTAGGAAATTACTTCACCGGAGATTGAGGTAGTAGTCCCAAAAACTACCTTCTCAGAGGTATACATATAGTCCGAGTTTATAATAAAAGTTCATAAAAAAAAGACATATATCCTGTGAGATTATAAAAGGTATCTAAATCAAGTGACAACCTACATATATTTCATTTTTAAATAAACTATTAAAAAAATACCCTGAAAGAACTCACAATCAAAAAATAGAAGTATAACATTACTCACCAGTCTTATATTATATTTCTTTATAAAGGCCGCTTGTTTTTTACGCCGCGTCAGCCGTTTTCTGCTCACCTCACAACCGCCAGACCGTCATCATCCGGTTTTTCAAATTTAACAATGAAATACATCTGTAAAATACCAAATTCGGTTTAATATACTTTATTATTTTGTCACATTCTTTTTACCTTTTTCTAAAACATTTTATCAAATAAAGTACAATTTAAAAATGTACCACGTTCACGACTGTCACGAGAATCATGAAGATGGAGGAAACAGGAAGCAACAATGACAGTTGACAATATGACATTGACAGAATATTTTTAATTTAGTACTAGATTGGTACAAATAATTGTACCATATTTCATAAAAATGTACTAAAATCAGTTTCCTCTCTGGTTGCCTTAGGAATATTATCAATTGTTTAGGATTTATTAAGTCTTTACGGTACTTTTACTAGTTTAACTTATATTAATTACACTGGACGATAGCGGTCAATGTACTGAATTTCGTTTCTAGCGTACCTGTTACCTTTAGGATATAGATCCAGTACAATTGTACTAGATTAGCAAAACTCATTGCTATTTGACATTCGAGGACATCGAAATTGGGTTAGCAATACCTTAAAAAGAGACAGACAACAAAATCTTGAATGATTAACGCTAGAAAACGGACGTTACTAAGTATCCATATCAAAACATAAGGCACCGTAATTTTACCAAAAAAATTTACAAACTGCAGCTCGAACAAACTTAATATACCTATACGTGTTTTCAGTTGAAGCAAATTTCCAATTAGGTTCTTTATAATTCAAAACTTAAGTATTAAAAAATACGAAAATATAACGTAATTATGACGAATTCTAAGTGACGTCTATTCTGTCATCACTGCGATGTCAAATACACGTTACTGATTAGGATATTGTATTTCGGATAAATTAATGCTAAAATATTTCGTCATAATGACGAGTCTGTATTGACGTCTAATTAACGTTGCAAAAAGGACGTTAAAGTAACGTCATTAATGGGGATAGTGACGTTTCTGATGCGTAAACCCAAAAAATCACGTCATAATGACGGCACCTTGCTGCTTGGGTTTCGATTAATCGAATGTTTTTGATTAATCGATTATTTTTGTTCAATCGATTACCTTCGAAAAATCTATTATTTTCAATTAATTGATTAATTATTTTTGAATAATTAATTATTTTCGAATAATTAATTATTTTCTATTAATCAATTATTTTCGATTAATCGATTATTTTCAAATAATCGATTATTTTAAATAATCAATAATCGATTATTTATTTTGAAAATCGCCTAGCCCTAATTTCAACTCCCTTATCCCCCATTTTTAGTCAGAATTTTTTTTTCAGAATCAATAAGCTTGATTTTACTAAAAATTTTCGTTTTTGAGTTAGAACTTTTTAAATATTTTAACCCCCCATTTTAATTCAGATTTTTTCAGAATCAATAGGTTTCATCTTTTTATATAGCTTGATTTTTACTAAAAATTTCACGTTGTATCGCTTTTCGTTTTTGATTTTTGATTTTTGATTGTTTTTTATTTCAACCCCCTTGACCTCATTTTTATTCAGATTTTTTTAGAACGAATAGGCTCCATTGCCTTGTAGAACTTGATTTTTGCTAAAAAATTCATGTTGATATCGCTTCACATTTTTGATTTATGACTTTCTTTTAAATATATCAACACCTCTCAACCCCCCATTTTAATTCAGATTTTTTCAAAAACAATCAGCTTCATCCTCTTATAGAGCTTGATTTTTACTAAAAATTTCATGGTCGATATCGCTTTTCGTTTTTGATTTAATTTTTTTTTATTATTTCAACGCCCCTTAACTCCCCCCCCCCATTTTTATTTAGATTTTTTTCAAAATCAAAGAGTTTGTCCTCTTATATAGCTCGATTTTTTCTAAAATTTCTAAGTTGATATCATTTGTTTACTATTTTTATCCCCCTTAACCCCCTATTTTTATTCAGATTTTTTAAAAATCAATAGGTTTCGTCCTCTTTTATAGCTTGATTTTTCC